AAGCACATAGTATTCTCAGCACTACTACTACTACTGCTACTACTGCTATTACTGCTATTACTGCTGTTACTGCTATTACTGCTATTACTGCTATTACTGCTATTACTACTACTAATGCGACTACTGCTATTACTGCTATTACTGCTATTACTGCTATTACTGCTACTATTGTTGCTACTGCCGCTGCTTGTTGTTTCCCGTTCAGGTCACGGATTGGAGATGTTGCTTGCGGCTGTGGAGGCTGTGCGATTGCGAATAGAGCTGCTACGTGCATGGAAGGACCACAACACGGCCGAGCTGCTGGTGAGGCCAGAGGCGGCGAGGTGGAAGGGTACAGCGAGCGCAGGGCAGGGCAGGGCAGGGCAGGGCAGGGCAGGGCAGGACGGTGGATCGAGGGCGGGGGGGAGCCCTCCCCAACCTACCTAGCACGTCCTGAACCCACCGCCGGCTGAAACAAACACAAAGCTGCTCGTGTGAATCCCCCCAGCACTTCCTATGGCGGCGTAATACATTAAATCTCACAATCAAATACCCACACACAGAGGCGCACATACAGAGGCACACACAGGCGCACACACAGAGGCGCACACAGAGGCGCACACACTTACGTGAGGCGTGCTGAGGTTGGTTGTGAGAGGGTCTCCGTAGCCACCGTGCGCTATTCCATCACCGATTACATCACCGAGGTCGAGTCGTAGAGGCGCGCGAGAGGGTTGCACGCCCTCGGTCGAGCAGGAGGGAATAGCGGCCCCTCAACCCCCTCTCCCACCACAAGGAGGAGAATGCTTCTGTTGTCGTTCCCGTTGGGGTACGGTTAGGTGCCCCTGGCCAGTGTCAGGCCCGGATCGATATGTAACAAATACACACAAGCACACAGGCACACAATCACTCACGCACCCAATCACATTGACAAACAGGTGGAGGTGGCACAGAGCCAGTGTGAGGTCGTGACGGAGGAGGTGATGGCGGCTGCGGCCGGTAACGTGACGGGCATGGCGGCCCTGCTGCGCATGTCGGAAGAGGAGCTCCGAAACCGAGTGGCGCAGCTCAAGGCAAGTGCTTGAGCGGTAACGCAACTCAAGGTGTAATGCATACACACACACACGCATACACACACGCATACACACACGCATGCGGCTCCTTTTTTGCAGCCTCCCGTGGCCCCCCTTTGTTTTCTTGGCCGCTCGATAATGCGAACGTAGCGTGTTGTTCTGTTTGTAATTCTGTCCTGTCTGCCTGTCCGTCTATCTGTCCTTCTGCCTGTGTACCTGTCTGTCTGTCTGTCCGTCTGTCCATTTCGTCTGTCCATTTCGTCTGTCCAAGTTCGCTTACTATGATGGCGAATATATCTTGTTAGCGGATACCCCGAACCAGCTGGCGGGGCTAGCGGCCGCCGCCGCCGACTCTCCGCTGTCCCCGAACGACGTTTTCAATTTGACGGTGAAGTGGACCCCCTAGGCTAGGGGCCCTAGGTCACGGCTAAGTTCCTTCAACTCCCGCCAAAACTCTCGTGTGTCCCGGCAGCACCCCCGCTCTCCCCCCGCTCCCCCGGGGACATTCTATTCCCCAATCTCGCCACGGAATCGGCACAAAACACGACGCACGTCATTGCCGTACGGACCGCAGGCCAAGTGTGGCGACTTGCGCCATAAGAAGGCCTTCTTCCAAAACCAGTATTTGGAGGCGTCCCGTCTGCGGTACGGCGGCCCTGCCGCTGCTCCTGCTGCTGCTGCTGCTGCTGCTGCTGCTGCTACTGCTGCTGCTCCTAAGCCAACGGTGGCGGCGCCGGCGGTGGCGGCGGAGCGGTCCCGGCCCTCCGGGACGGCAGCTGCTGACAACCAAGCGACGGAAAACCATCCTTCAGAGCTGGATAACCTTACCGGGGCCGTCGCCGCCGCCGCCGCCGGCGGGACCTTAAAACTGCAGAATCGTAGCTTGGTCAAAGCCGCGAATGATAAATGTGAAGATAAAAGAGAAGAAGGATCGTGGTCTGACCTGGGCTCAAGTGATGGTGGTGACGGCCTAGGAAGGGAACCCTCCCTGCAGCCACCGCAACGGCACACGGGGGCGGCAGCCGTCGCCGCCTGTACGGCAAATGTAGGTGTTGCCTGTCGTACCGGAATCTTGGCGTGCCTGCAACCCTGGGAGCAGTGGCTCCGAAGAAGTACGGAAGGACGCGCGAGAAGTACGGCGGACGATGTAGGACCACATTCCATCGCCGCCGCCGCCGCTAGGGGGCGCCATTTCCCGGGGGGGGATGGCGATAGCGTTGTACTGCAAAAGCCGGCGTTACTCGACTTGACGGCAGCTGACGACGGCGACGGTGATGGGATGGATGTCGACGGCGATGTCGCAGGTAGGTCAGGGGAAATCCCCGGCGGCGGCAGAGGCAGCGGCGATGGCGGTGATGGATATGCGGTTAGCGCCGCCATGCCGGTGGCCACACCCGGGGAAGAAGGGGTGGCGGCAGCGGCGAGAGCGCTGCAGCAGCATGGTGGTCGTGACCGACAGCCTGCGGCAGCGCACACGGCGGAGGCGGCACCTGACGGCGCCGCCAACGCCCACAGGGACCCCCGGGCGGCGGCTGCGGCCGCCGCCGCCCGCGCCCGTGCCCGCGTGGAGGCGGAGGCCGCTGCGGCACGTGCTCGGCTGGGGCTGTGTCTGGGGCCAGCGGACGGCGGCGGCGGCGGCGGCGGCGGCGCGGATGCTGATGAGGGGGCCTTGTCGTGCGCGGTGTGCGGGGAGCCCTTGAAGACAGACATACGGGTGTGTGGGTCGTCGGGGTCCTGGTATGCCGGGGTAGCGTGTTCGGGAGTTGTTGACGTTGGTGGTGGTGATGGTGGTGGTGATGATGGTGGTGATGATGATGATGTTGATGATGATGATCATCATCATAGTGGTAATTGTTGTGGTGGTTGTGTCAATAGGGTGTTCTGCCCGGTCACATAGTGGGAACGAGGAGTTTGGGGGGTTGAGGTCGGGTTTTGTACAGCATCTAGGGCATCTTTCCGTTCCCGCCGGCGTTTCCTTTTTCTTTTAACTTTACACTCGCACACCCACTCACACACGGCCACCCCTACCCCCATCCCACAACCTGCATTGGGCTACTTCGCACATCCGCACTTGATGGTGATTCCTTGTCACTTGGATGTCGTATGATTTCCCCACCACCACCTACCACCCACCTACCCACCCACCCCAAACACACACATCTCGGCACCCATCAGCCATTCCTTCCCCCCTAACCACGCTCCTTTTCGTAACCCCCCTGCTACCCTGTGTACAACTCCCCCCCAACCTTGCCCTGGCAGCTTCAATCGTGTTTGGTTCGTCTTTCCCCCCCAACCCCCCAACTCCCATCCCCTTACCATCGGTTTCTCGGGCTGTGTGCAGCTCTTCCCGTGCGGCCACTACTACTGCGCCGCGTGCTCCGGAGTCATATTGGGTTCCACTGGCGACCGCCGCTGCCCCACGTGCCGTACGGAAGTCCGCGATAAAGATTCCGTAGTCAAGGTGGCGGCGGTTAGCGGCGCCGCCGCCGCTGCTGGTCACGGCAGTGGCGGCGCTGGTGGCGGCGGCGGCGCTGCGTCGCGTCGCGTCTTGGCCGATGGGGAGGTGGATCCGCCGGAGGGGCCGCAGATCGTATCCGTAAAGGTACGGATGTACGGCAGGTATCAAATCATGATCTCTTCATAAGTCGTCCAATTGTTGTGATAAGCCCAGTAAAATTTGTAATAATTATTGTAGGAAAGACAACAAGGGGCTATGTGATGGAAGGGGAGAGGAATGCTTAGCTTTATTTTTGTGTATGGGGGGTAGGGGGGTGGCGGATAGCCAGCGAGGGAGGGCAATCTTGTACGGCAAGGTGCGTGTAGGCGAGAGAGGGGTTATAGATGAAAACAAAACACACCAGTTGTGGACTTGTTCTCCTTTTCGTTACTTCTTCTTTTTCTTCTCTTCTTTGCCGTAATGTGTTATTTTGTCGTTCTGTGGGGGCTCAATGGCCTTTCCTGACACAGCCCCCCGGGGGCCCCGGCATCGCCTTCACGCCATCGTCCCCTCGTGGGTCGTCTTCCCCCCTTCCCCCCTTTTGTTAGGTGGCCGGTTGGGCCTCCAGGGCCTTACGCCCAACCATTGACGAACCCACACATCCCGCGTTCTTACTCCCGCTTCTTTTTTGCTTGGTTGCTGCCGTACTGCCGTGTTTTACAGATTGAGGGTGGCAGTGAGTTGATGTGTAAGATCAGCGCCCTGCTTAGGCGGCTGGTTTGGCTCCGAGACCACCGGCCGGCGGAGAAGAGCCTGGTGTTTAGCCAGTGGGGAGATGCCCTGCAGGTGCGTGAGGAGGTGTGTGTATATGTATGTATGTATGTATGTATGTGTGTGATGTGTCCTGGAAAACACAACCACCATATCCACCATGGCCACCACAACCGCCACAACCACCACAGTAACCAACCACCATAACCACCGCAGATCGTACAACGCGGCCTACGCAACAACGATATCGGTTACGTTGCGTTGGAGACGGGTCGCAAGATGCGAAGTGCCATGTCCGCATTCCTCAACGATGACTCGTGCCGCGTATTCCTTCTCAGCTTGCGTCAGGGCGCAGCGGGACTGACGCTGGTACGACTTTTAGGGGGGCTGGGAGAGAGCGTGTGTGTATGTGACTATGCATGTGTACGGGGGGAAAGGGGCGTGGGAGGGAGCGCGAGGGGAGGGACTCAGCACTTGTACGACAATGGGTTGCAAGAGAGCGGCTCAGACCAGGGACACTGGTGTGCGGAGGGTTTAAGTGGGTGTGGGAGTGCACCGCTTGTGTTTGTGTCGTACACGGTTGTTGGAGATTGCTTTCTGTTTCCTTTCCGCTCTCACGTCTTCGCTTCAGTGGCTTTCCCCCTTCCCCCCCTTTCCCCGCCTCCCTCGTCGCGCTTTCCTACCCGGTCCGCCCACCGGGTGTGTATGTGTGTATGTGTGTATGTGTTTTCCAGGTCCGTGCCAACCACGTGTTCCTCTTGGAGCCCTCCCTGGACCCCGCCATCGAGCAGCAGGCGGTGGCACGTGTGCACCGCATCGGCCAGACCCGGGAGGTGACGGTCACCCGCCTGCTGGTGGACGGGACGGTGGAGGAGGTCGTCATGCGGATGCTCAAGGTGAGGGCGGGGGGGGCTATGTCCGGGGGGGGGGAAAACTGGGTTTGCTGCGCGGTGTCCACAATCCCGGGTGCGTGTCAATGGTGCGGAGCGACCGGGGAAGGGGGTTGGGGAGGGGGGTGCACAAGTGATGACGACCTCCCCACAGACCTCCACACCAAAACCTACTTCTCACCCGCTCCCCATCCTCTCGGCCCACCCCACCCCCATAACCCGCGGCCCCCGGCTGTCCCCCCCTCCCCCCCCACCTCTTCCCCCATCCCCGGGACAGGAGAAGCAGCAGCTGTTCATGGAATCAGCAACAGCAGCAGCAACAGGCGGAGTTGGAGGCAGCGGCGCAGGACTCAGTGCTGGTGCCGGCCCGTCGACCTCGGGGCCCCCTCGCCCTCTTCCTCATCCTGGTCTTGGCTCAGGGGCCTCCGGGTCCTTGCCTAGAGGTGCTGGTGGAGGTGGTGCTGGTGCTGGTGGTGGAGGTGGAGGTGGTGGAGGTGGAGGTGGTGTGTTTCTGACCCCCTCTTCCGTCCCCGTCCTGGAGGGGGGTGAGGGGGAGGAGGCGAGTCTGCCCACTGCCGCCCCTAGGCAGGAGGTCCTGGGCGGGGCGGATATGAGCTACCTGCTGCGTGCTGTACTGCAGTAATGAGCGGCAGGAAGGGGGGAGGGGGGGGATAAGGGGGCCCACTCCTCCTAAATGGAGGGGATGAAGGGGGGGGGGGGCTACCCGGAACTACCGGTAGTACGACCGGGCTTTTCGCGATGATTAGTACTCCTTCTGCTGCGGGGTTCTTACCTACGTGCCGTTGTGCGTATGAGTTGCATGCGGCCGCATTCCGCCAGCACCCTCCGTTGTGTGTGCATGGGGTGGGGGGTTGGGGGGCTTGGAGGGGGGATAAGGCTTAGAGTTACGGAAGTACGGACGAGCTAATTCACGAATCAATGTGATCAAAAAACGAAACTAAAAATGAAAGGACACCGGAGAAAATCTTACATGTATAATGGATGTCAACAAGAAAGAGGTCGATTTCATGAATGTGATACGTGTGGATTTCATATGGAAAACTGAGTGTTGTACGCGAGGGCGCAGGAAACGGCTACAGGCGGGAGCCTGGAAGGAGCTGAGCGCGTTAGCTACCTAGCTACTTAGCCACCTGGCTGGGTAGTGAGCTGGTTGGAACGGAGAGGAATCAGCTGACGCGGAGTGCGGGATGTGACGAAACTCTGGAAGGGGCGGAGAGGGACCCGAGTGGAAGCCGCGATATATCTGGCGACATACATACTTTGCGACGTGTGGCGCTGATATGTAAAAAATTGTAGCGCTGAAATAATAGCGCTGAACCAGTTAGGGTTCACCAGCCGGAGGGCGAGGAGATGCAGGTTGTGCTTTGAAGGGGGGCGCTGAGAAGGCAGGGGGCCCACTCCGCACGCGTCTAGACATGCACATTAAGGCCGTTATGGCGGTTGTGGTTCCTGTACGGATGGACCCGGGAAGGGTTACCCGGTGTATGCGTGAATGGGCGGCGCGTGCCGTGCTTACATTAGATATGTGTACATTCTGTACGACGGGGTGTTGGCAGGTTTGGGTGGGTGGGGTGGGGTTGGGGGATTGCTTCCGTCAGAGGTGATGATGTACGGCATATCTAATCGTCACCGCTTGGTTTTATTGAAGGGTGCCCTATCTGCTGGATCTCTCTCCGTTTTCTCGGTTTTCTAACCTGAAATCAACGTGATTAACGGCTTGCAACGGTGCTGAAGTTTTTTTAACGTTTCTTGCAAGAGTTCCACGTGGTGAGAAGTGAAGAAAGAGAAGCTGCCAGTTGAGCTCAGTCTGCCAGGGTTAAAAGCAATTTTATGGGATGTTCGGTGCCACGCACGTCGCGTAACTGATCCATGATACTCTGTGTTGTGTATAGAGTCGAATCGGCGCCAGCCTGACACCAGGACCCACATGCGTTTGATGGATTGGAGAGGGGATGTTGCAAATAAGGGCCGCCGTACTGCTGCCTTGCCGAGTCGAATTAGTATTTGATTTGAGACAACCTTCAGAAACTCTAGGAACAGTGGTCTTGGAGCTCTTGCGAAAGCCGCATTCCGAGGGTCAACCTAATCTAGCTATGCTGCCGATATCCGGATGGGTTAGATAGTCAACGCCGGAGTCCACAATGTGAAACAATGAAAGCAAGTATGCGAGCAGCCCCATTAAGCTACAGCGTTTTTGCCGAAGATATGTAAAACTCTCTGAGCACCGGGCACAGTAAACCTCATATCCAAGTATCGAACCTTGCCCAAACTATGATGCCAGCTATAATGTAGTTTATTCGCCTATACGCTGCATGTGGCCAGGTCCATGTCTTCACCAATCAGTCAATGCCGGACGAGCGTCCCGCGGATCTCAATTATGGACCCAAATGCCTATGCACACGAATCCCCATAATCATTTGGAACATAAACATGATGGTGGCAAACATCTTGCTTCACCGTGTTAGGCCTTTTGTTGCCCCAAAGCTGCCTAGCACAGCAGTTCCGTGCCGCACGCGAGTCTTGGTGGTTAACTGCTTTCACAAGCAAGCTAGGTTGTCTATTGAACCAAATGAGCAAGGTCCAAAGGAAGCTCTTATGTCAAACCTTCCACTTGCAATTTCCGTCGCTCTCGGCGCGATAGGCCTGACGGCACAGCGCGCCAATGCTGATGAAGTGATATCTCAGAACATTCCAACACTTTCTCCGGAAGATGTGGAAATCCTGGCGGCCAACAGTGCTGGAAGCGGCATCGACCAAGCTTTTGTGTCGCTGCTTTTTGGCGTGGTGGTTCTCCTGCTGGTGGTCGTAACGGGAGGAGTGAGTAGCTACTGCAGCAACTAGCAGCAACGTGCATACGTAAATTCACTGCTAAGTTGGAACTCTCGCCGTACATCCGTTGCGACACTGCCTCTCTACGCGCCCCTCCATCCCTCCACTGCTCGGCCTCTTACCCGCCTAGACCCGCGCCATCCCACTAATCCAGCTACGCTACGATCCCAAACCCCAAGAGAATTTCTTCAGGGGAAGCGTGTGGCACAGCACGGAAAGAACATCGCAGCTCCACAGCCCAACTGCTCAAACGCACCCCGTCCTTTGACCTAAACCATTTTTTGTACGATGCACTGGGTTTTGGAACTATTGGTCATGCCCTGCTCGCGCCCAACCTTGGCGTCTCGTCTTGATGTTGGCCCTTTCCCTCGTCCCCTTACTGTCGTCCCATCTTGCCTACCTTCCCTTACCTTCCCACCGTTTTCCGCACCCCTGCCGGACCACACAACCACCACCCTGCCCGCACCTCCCCTCCCCTCCCCTCCCTCATTTCCCTTCACCCAGGTTGCCTACATGAACATCAGTCAGTGGCTGGACAACCGGCAGGAGCAGGAGGACCGGGAGAAGGCAGTCCAGGAGATCACCAGCACGGCAGCAGCCGGGTGAGTGGAGGCGAACTGGAGACTTAGGGTAAAGAACTTGGACCGTGTCTATGGTGGGAGAGATAGGGGTAACACTGGAATTGGGGGGGGGGCACACCGGGGGGTCAATCAGGTGGACACGCGACATGTCAGGGGTTGTTGGGGTCGGTGCCGGGGTCGGGTCGGGGGTTCATCTGGGCGGCCCTCGGAAACCTGGGGTTGGGGTCGGTATGGCGGACTGCCAAGCACCGGCAGTCCGCCACCGGGCCGTTGGTGACCTGATGAGGACAACCCTCCAGAGCTAGCTAGCTCGGTGGCCGCCGGGTATCTGAGCGCGCGACTGATAACGGCTGAGGGGACTGCCGGGGGTTTGGGAATGAGGTGGAAGAGTGAGAGGTAAGGGAAAGGGGCGAGGGTGAGGGTGAGGGTGATCAACCGGTGTGCATCGGGTGGGGATCTTAGAGCACAGTCGTATCGTGGGGATCTGGATCCGCTTAAGAGTAGAGTAAATGAACATGTTGACCTATCGGGTCATTCATCCCCCACCCTCATGTGTTGGCATGCGCAGCGGCTCCAAAGCGGGTGGAGACGACGGCGATGAAGTGATTTCTCTGAAACGGGCCAGCCGCGTCAAGAAAGAGAAGGGCAAGGGCTTTGCGGCGCCGGAGTTTACCAGCCGGCGATAGCTGATTCTTCTTCTGCTGCTGCTGCTGCTGCTGCTGCTGCTGCGGGTGTTGCTGTTGCAGATGGTGGTGTTGGTGACGATGTTGTGGGCGTGGGGATGCCTTGGAGATGGCATGGTGCGAAGCTGGGCAGGGCAGTTTTCCTAGTGGCGGTTTGTGGTGGGGTGTAGGTACGCGTGTATGTATAGGGTACTGTGTGTACTAGGGCCCGAACCCCCGACAAGTCCGGGGTTTTTGGTAGGGCCCCTCATGCCACTGCGGTCGGCGCTGGCAGTGAGTGATGGGAGGTAGGTAGATAGCGAGGATGGGTGCAGCTTGGATCCCCTCTTCCTGCCAAGTGTGTACATGCAAAGTATGAGGCTTGCATGAGGCGAATGTGAAGTATGAGGGGCGGCGAAACCTCTTCAGACACAACGGTGTGTTCCCCTCCGCACGGGGAATGCCCGCCAGCTGGCGTGACTTACACAGCAACCCACCTTCATCCTGTTTGCAAATGGCGAGTGAGTAATTTTACACATTTTTAATGATGATGATGATGATTATCTCCACTACGCAGATCACATTTACACTCGCTCCAGGTGGAAAGCGGTTTGCATGGATGAGGTTTTGATCCCCAATCCCCCGTACAATGCCCAGGCCGGATTCGCGCTCAATGTGTGGCTGGGGACACATCAGGGAATGTGGGACATGCCATCCGGGCAGCTGCCGGGATACTGTAGGTGCAACATGTACATGCAACATGTACATTTACAGAAATGTACTAAGAGGAATTCACGAAGTGCGCAGCAAATAAGACGAGTAGCCTATAGGCCCATGTCCATAGTCCAGGGCAACGGAGGGGGTTACCCTGGGGCCGTGTTACCCCTCCTGCTAGGTAGGAATTTACAAGCGGGTTACCAATGGGTTACGGGGGGTTGAAGATGGGTAACCGATGGGTAACCCATGGGTTACCGACTCAATCAGTGCCTTAGGGCAGGTAGCCAGCGGTTTTCCAAGAAGCTGGCTTGTGTACGTATGCATCTCAATGGGGCCTTGAGGCTGGCATTAAAGAGCCAAAGTGTTGGTAGCTTTCAGCAAGGCGCTGGAATTCAGGTGCTTAATGCCACCCCCAAAGATTGAACCCCGAGGTAAAAGGGGCAGTGGACCAGGTCCTTGCAAATATTACAAAGCGACATGAAGGCGAACAAGGAGGCGGCGCTAATGCAGGTTGCACCAGGTTGCTGAGGTGCGTGGTCTCTGGTTTGCCCCCTACCGCTTGCCTACCTGGGCATGCAACAATCAGTGCAGCGCGAACGGCAAAGGTGTATGTATGTACGGAAGGGGATGGGCGGGAAGAAGGCCATCGCTTGGTTAGCTATTCTCGTTCCGTTCTCGACAATGACTCATTCGATTGCGCCCGTGTCTTCACATTAGGCTATTCGACAGCCGCTGCTCGCAGCGTTGCAAGCGACCGCCAGAGACCGCCAGTAAGAAAAACGCGTTAGTACACTAGCGCGCCCTCGCCGCGCGCGTTAAACATGAAGTCCTTAAAACACCATTTTATGGTGGGAAGCTGTCAAGACAGCGGGCAGGCCGCACAAGAAGCAAGCAAGTGCAGCAAGTCGCTGCTGGCTGCAGTCATCAAGAAGCTAACCTAGATAGGCCAATTCATAATGTGAATCAAACTTCTTACTCTTAGCAAAACCCTTTGCAGATGCATATCCTATCTCATATTTGTAATTTGTAATTTGTAATTTGTAATGTTACAGAGTGGGAGGCTTCTGGGCCGCTTTATCACATTGTCAGTTCAACGATTTATCATCTTATAGCACCATCCACCACTACCACACTATACTTCGCCATACGAACATATCTCATATAAATCTATATATACAGTGTTCGAGAGCTTTTCGGAAGAGGGCCAGTAAGGAATTGTCCGAAATGCAATCGTGGCGGACCTGTTTCATGCCTTTTTGGGCGGGGCCCCAGCGCGAAGCGCCGAGGGGGCCCCCGACCTGTAGGATTGCCCATGGACGTGTGGCCGTGTGGCCGTGCGGCCGTGTGTGTGTGTGTGTTTGTGTGTGTGTGTGTGTGTGTGTGTGTGTTGTGTGTTGTGTGTGTGTGTGTGTGTTGTGTGTTGTGTGTGTGTGTGGTGTGTGGTGTGTGTGTGTGTGTGTGTGTGTGTTGTGTGGTGTGGTGTGTGTGTGTGTTGTGTGGGGTGTGGGGTGCGTGTGTGTGTGTGTGTGTGTGTGTGCATTCTCTATTGCATGGTATCTCGCCTGTAGCCAACAACAATCGTATGAGCACAAACAACTTTGGCTGCCTCCATTGACCGAGGTCAAGGTCACATCAACGCCTCTCAGGCTACATTTAATCTCAAAAGGTGCAGCGTATCTCATAATTGGATTCTGGGTTGACGGCGTATGATAACTCGAACACACAGTTTGCGTTACCATTTGCATGCACGGGCCTTCCGACTTGCCACCAGCAGGCCGACAATTTGCTTTCTTTCCCTATGAAGTACGCAAGCTGCTCGTTTGTGCAATTACTTGGGCCAATGCTCGGGGCCTCCGAAGAGTTGCAGTGTACGCGATGAAGCTCGCGGCTGTGGGGCGGAAGCATAGCTCCCACAGCATCAGCACTGCTGCAACAAGCATAGCTCCCACCACGTTGACACATCAATTGTCAAACGTGCCGCCCTAGCTACCGGCCTGTACGGATGCAGGGGCCCCCGCCCTTTTTCCGGCTTCGAAGAAGCCGACACCCGACTTGTTAGGCACTCGTTCGAGTGCGCAAGGCCTACTATGAAGTAAGTGTTGTCGACGCGCGCAAGCGCCCAACCTATGTTCATAGACACGTCCTACTGCGCGGACCAGAACCATGCATACATGCGTAGGGCAAAGATGTGGCAACAAGCAACGAAGTAACGCGCGTGTTTATCACGCAAGCGTGTTATCAGGAAGACAGCTATTATGAGAGTCCCAAAGCATGCAGATTGAGTTCTCTTCCACTCGATATACAGTACATACAATACTGACTTAACAAAACATGTTTACAGCGCGCGGTGGGCGATTTGAAAGGGTCATCAATGCACGCATGCGTGGTACATTGCGCAATGTACCACGTAGCTGCCGCACCTACCATACTCTGTACACACCTTATTGGCTCATATTTATATCGATGTTATTCATGCCTGACGATGTACAGCTACTACATCAGAGCGCGGGAATCACGAGCTTGCGAACGGAGGCCACCTGCTAAGTGACCGCGCTGCAGCTGAGCGGATTTGCGTTATCTATACATGCGTCAGAATAACAATAGATAGGGACCGTCCTTACCTATTATACGAGGGTTTTGCCGACAGGTGATCAAAACATTTACTGACGCCCATTAGTAATGTGAAAAGATCTGCAAAAACAGAATCACGGACTAACGAGAATGAATATTTCGCCGACATAGCCGTCTTTAAAATTCTTCATCGTTCCTTCGTTTGTCTATTAGATGGGGACCGTCCACTCTATAAACTACCTATTATACCCTATTTCACAGACGCATTTGCTCCGCGTTGCAGCCTGCTGCCCGCCGTGCGTATGCATGGAATGTCCATGGCGGAAACCGCCCCGGGAAGCTGCCGCACAAACCCGCCGTCGCCGCGGAGAATTGCTGTGCAAAACGTTTCATGCCGAAAGAACCGCGGGGTAGCTGCCCGTAAGCTAGTTGCCCAGGCCCGCCATGCAACGCGTTCGCCCCGTCGTTCTGTTTTTGTACGATAACGGCGACTACTAATCATAGGCGACCATAAATATCCTTAGGGTACCAAGATATTTTCAAACCCTTTCCTGCGCTGGGATAAGCCCTTTCTCTGGCTGTTTCATTATTTACGCCTTCTTTTACCAAGTCGTCCATAGCCGTCCATAGTTAACTGCTTTACCTGGCTTATCTGCCCGACACCACGGCGCCCCGGCAAGCAAGTCTATTTGTATCAGGTGAGACGCAGCCAAACAATTCCATATATATCAAATACAGCTGATTACTTCCCAGCCTTCTTGTGTTCTACGCAAGGACACTACTTGGGTGTTGCTGCCTGCCGCGGCTGGCAGGCTTTCGCTCAGTTGCGCACATATGGCTGCTGTGAATTATTTAATGTATGAATGCATAGTATTAGATTGAATGTGTGGCATATCTACCTATGCTTCCTGTTCTTTTGGGCAGCTCGCTCGCAAGGGCCTCCGTTGGGGAGCAGTGATTCGATCGACGACCGTCGGGGACGTTGCTCTGTGCGTACACGTTTCTCCACATGTAAATAGCAATGCATTACCGTACTAACTTTCTATGTAATATGGTTTACTTTCTGGACCTTCCTATATGTTCAACGGCGCTGCATGTCCCATCTGCAGACGGACCTAGGACGGGCAATCCGAACTAATAACACTAATAACACTCCATAATGCCAGCTACAGCCTGCTGGGTCAGAAAGCAGAAGGACCTATCTTGAGCGAGCGGTTACGCTTTCCTAAGGGGTCCAGCAGCAGCGTGCGCGTGACGTACTGCATAGTTATTATACATAGTTTTTTCTATAGTATATTACATGTAACATGTTATATAGACAGCAGGGTCATCGCATGAGAGGTGGGACAGGGTAGAATTGCCAAGAAATGTATGTCATATACATTGATCACGGTATAGAATCGCATTTAGATCGTGCCATTGATAAAATATATAGGCCTGAAAATAGAAGGTCTATATAGACGCAAGGCGCATAAAAGGTAAATACACGTCAACGAAAACGCCGGCAGCCCGCCCCGGCGGCGACCAGCTTCTATAACACCATTCTTCGTCATCAATAATGTGGCTCTAAAGGCAAAACTCTTATTCCCCCATCGCCCTATCTGCCATTATTGCAACAGGCAAGCAAGCGGAAGCGGGCAGATGGTGCTTCAAACGAATTACATCAATACCCACCAGCGACGCTTGCTGCTGATGGAGGGCAAATGGCGTACGCGTGTAGCAGTACCCCAGCAGGGCGGCCGGCTCATCATCACCTTCATCCTTGCAGCATTTTTGGCCTTCTGCGCACAGGAAGGTAGGTTTTCCTGCCTTTTCTGTTACGGTACAGTAGAAGAATCAGTTGTCACCTAAAACGTATAATACCACTCATCCTGCCGGCCATCCAGCATGCATGGCGGTGTGTGCATAATGCATAATGCATGATCAGTAAAGGGACTGGGCCCTGCCATAAGCAACAAATTAAAAGGTTTTTTACTCCCTACGTATACATAGTCCGTCCACGCCTACATACTCCATCATACGGGAGATTGCAGTCCACCGCAACGAACACAGGTCCATGAGCTCAAACTTTATTCCTGAAGTCATTGAACTTTGAAACCCATATACCGCATCGCTACCTAAGGACACATGCATGCATGCATGCATGCAGGTTCAGCCTTCCAGCTCAGCGATGAGGCAAAGGCCTTCTCCACGGAATGGTCGACTGATGTGTTCGTCGTCATGGACGGAGCACTATGCCTGGCAACCCCCTCTTCTCCTCCAGCCTCATCATCCACCCAAGTAGTGGGGCTCCGGCCCTGTGGTGGTGCTGCTGCTTCTGGCACCGAGCCCAGCAGCTCGTCACCGCCCCAGCAGGTTTGTACTGAAGATGCGGTGGTCATGACCAGTCTAACATGATCATGTTAGACTTCCAATGGAGGAACAGCGTAAAATTATCATTAACCGGTCTGTATCCATGCGCTATGGGCTTATCATAGGCCAGAACTTATGTTATGCATAACATATGTTCACATGGATTAGCTTTGGTTCGTTCAACGAACAGCATAAGTTATTACTGCTGCTTGGAAGCTTACCGGCATGGTTTTAGCTAGCGCATGTATGTACACCTAGGATGGCTAGTGAGTAGAGGTTTAGTGGCGCATGGGGTTGGAGAGAGGAGCAGCGGTTTCGAGGCACATGCACGTATACTGTGTCTCAGCTGCCTATCTCTACCTGCTGGCCAACACTCTGGGAAAATGGGGGGGGGTCCAAATTCCATATTATATGGCTTCCTTTTCCATAAATAGGGCTCCGCACTTCCATAAAGTAGCCTGTGCTTTTCTGTAATTCATCCACAAGTAATTTATCCACATGTTGTTGACTCACAGAGTCCGTATAATGTACTATATGGGTAAATGATGGAAACCTCCCATTACTTAAAGTGCACTGCTGTGTAATATTATTGTATTTTTACAGGCAGCAACGGTTGTACGGGCAGCCCGGTTCATTCCCATGGAGATATCATCAGCAGCCGAATACACTCGCATGGAATTCACAACAGCAGTGGAAGGCGGCACACCCATGTGCGTCGGAGTATCCGACAATAGGCTGAACATTGCGACCAGATGCGAGCAGGCTGCACCTTTGCGCCTTATGCCGGTTGCAGCTATGATGCTTGGTAAGAAGGCTGAGGGGACGGTGGCTAGCCGGGAGGACAAACCCACACCGCCACAAACAAGTTCCCTGTCCCTCCCTCCAGCTAGCTATAGGGCATCGAATTTCTCATTGTTTGGCTCATTGTTTGGCTCATTGTTTGGCATTGCTATGCCTTTTGTCCAGTGTATTTTTTTTCCGTAATATTACGGTTCCGTAATAAAATGGCATATTTGCGTTCTGCGCTCCGTCATAGACCATGGTAAAGGCCTGGTACGGTCGTTACGGAGCCGGGGCGGGCCGAAGGCCCCCAGAGACGTTCTATTTTAGTATAAATAAGTTATAAATGAGCGATGGGGCCCAAGGAATTAACTACTGTAGCTGGTCAGGGTAGCGTCAAAGCATTCCTGACCACCGGCAGGCCAAAACCCAGTAGCGGCGATGCTGGTAACACTTCATGAAATATTTATTAAATATGTGCTGGTGTATCAGGTACCCTGTGTGGGCAGGGGGGGTCTGGGGGGGCTTGCCCCCCCAGAAAAAGAATCTGGCAGTAATAAACGTATTGGACTGATGGCATATATATGGAACTCGTAACAGATTCAGGATCGGCCTCCACGAAAAAAAAAACACTGCTTTTGTCATCCATCAAGGCAACGAGGAAGGCTTCACTACATGTTATCCTAATCCTCCGCACTGTAGCATCCTGGGCTTATCACGGGATCTGCATCCACCGACCGGTACTTTTTTAAGTCGTGATAGAACACGCGCACATGCATGGCGCTAGCTGCACGCGTCTGTAAAAAAGCTGTACATACATCATGAGGGGGGCGGTAATGAATGGGGAGTCTCTAGAGACTGGGTTTATGGCTGCCATAGGGCGTGTACAAATGCGATGCATTTTGCTTTCAGAAATGTACGATGGCACACCGAGCATTGTATAGCTGATGAACATGTTCGATTCGCTCCGTTCTCCACCCATTCGTGGACACAGATTACACGGCAAACGTGGCTGCTGGCAAGGATACCTCCCGCAGCGACGGCTTCCTTATCACGGCGACGACCACAAAGAATGATGATGACCGCGCGTCCACTACATATCCATTGTGTCTTACAGCTTTGCCAGACTCTGCTGTTGCCTTCAAAGACTGCAATATGAGCCTTATCCAGCACCAATCGTGGCAGCTATGCAAGGAACCTGGAAAGCTCTGCGCTCCCGTTGACCAAATGGTCCGTCGGGAGCGTGCACGGGCATACAGCAGCGCTGTGGACGAGTTTACAAAGGAATCGACAATTGCTGCTCCCGGAGCTACCGCCACGTCCGTCGAGACTAGCAAGATTAGTAAGAGCAGTAGCGCTACTGTCACTTCGAAGCCGCAGATGCTGTCTTACATTTCAGTGATTGACGCAAGTTCAACGGTTGGGCCCAATCGGCGCCTTGCCACCAGCAGGCGAATTTTAGACGATAACACTGCTTCATCTTCGTCATCGAATGAAAATACCACGTTGTCAAGTCCCCCAAAAGCGGTGCTACCAAGGAGCCAGGCAAGTCCCAGTTGCTAGGCGCCTAGATAGGCTGCACCATCGATGCTTGGTTATGTGGCTAGCTACGTATCTAGTGTAGTAATACGACAGCTGGATAGAAACTGCCGTACTTCCATATCCCACCCATCAACGCCTACAACTTGCAGAAGGTCGCCTGAACCTTCCTATCTACGACTAAGTTTTGAAGCATCCTATATGCATAGCCAAAATGCATGTGGTATGAAACCAGGTCAAAAGCCAACAAGCAGATTTGCACGACGGACTCAGCAGCAGCAGGGAAGACTTCTTAGGCGGCGGCGGCGGTACGGTGATTTGCACGCCTCGTGGTGACTTCATACGCCTGTTGTAGGAAAGCGGCCGTTGCATTTATGTGTTGATGCACACAGCGTACGCGTTGATGACGCATCATCAACGGGTCTGTGTGCATGCACATTCTTTACTGATTTACCCTATCTATTTACCCTATCTATTGAGTGTTCGTTGCTTTATGGAGAGCTTCCCGTGATTCCTATGTCGGCAGTACCAGGTAGTAAAAACCATGCGCAATATCGTGTATGCATGTACATGTATATGCATGAACGTATGTGTCAAATCAGACGCACACGTACTGATACTACTCGCTGATGGTTGTTCAACTGGTTGTTCTTATGACACCTGAATCACTACTGTCCGGTCCATGCATGTGTGGTCCTGTAAATGCCACGCATTAACAATATTGCTTAATTGCCACACGCTTGCTATGGATGGCGACGGTCTTAATTCAACAGGACGGCAAATTGAACATCGTCAAAATCAACGGTGAAGGCTTCAATACAAAGGGGAAATCCGCCGTCATCGATATCACGCTGCCCAATGGTGTAATCGTCACCACCAACCTTTCGCGAAACTTGGAGGACGATGCTGAGCTGGGTGTGAAAGAACTTTGTGCCGTGAACGTAAGCGGAAAGGCTGTGGGCAAAAAAGTGTGCGCGTCAAGGATGCGAGCACCCTCTGCCGCTGCTTTTGGGTCGCAAACCGTCCCCGGAAAGCTCGCCTTGTCGACCTCCGCATGCCAGCTGTTCGAGGGCAGGCTTGAGCAGGATCCATCAAGCAGCGTTGTGATAACGAAATGCGGTGAGTTATCCTGCTCGTAGTTGGCGTCTGCTGATTGTAGGGGCAGCCATTTATTTTAATTTGCTAATAATCAAAGTTCTTGTTTTTTAGATTGACGGATCGCGGTTGATATCCCCGCCGGTATTTAGTAAGTTATTAAGACCAAGTCGGCAGGCGACCCATGCGACCGCGGCTTCAAACGATGGAGCTGCCCTATAAAATCTTCAATTAGGGCTCGGCAACAGACGAGTGGCAGGTTGTTGTTACCCTGGCAAAGCATGCCGCTGATGTTTTGCTTGCGGCTACTGTCTGAAACAGCCGCTGACAGATATGTGCTTTTGGGTGCAACAGGTACGCGCTTTTGAGGCGCCACAAGTTCAGGGCAGAGGCCCTTTAATTTGGTGCCCATCCTGCCTGCCCGCCTGTCTGTCTGACTACCTATTTGTCTGCCTGTGTCTCTAGAGATCTGCCTGCATGTGTCTCTGCCTACCTGCCTGCCTGCCTGCCTGCCTGCCTGCCTGCCTGCCTATATATGTATGTCTCTGCTTGCCTGGCTGCTAGCGTATCCATGTCGCTGTACCTAAAACTGCAAATTGCTACACACAACAAAAACCTAATAAAAATGTTTCGTCCTGCAGACATGCAATAATTGTTCCGCTATATATATGTTAAGGGCCGGATGTGAATGAAGTCTTGTAATCAAGCCCTTCACAACCTGAACAGCAATCCGTACTGTAACTGAAGGGCGCAGGTGGGGGAAGGGGGCCGCCACCCCCGTCACGAGGCCCCTCTCGCTGTCTGGAAAAGCACACACACATACGGGCAAGCAAGTTGCTTTCCTTCAGGCCATTTCGACATGCACGCATGTCATGTCATCGCAGGATCACAGCAGCTTGCTTACTGCTATTTTTATTTTCCAGTGCGCTCTGATGGCCTTCAGTAGCCTCCGTACGCGTGTTACATCAGCGCCGTTATGTGCGGTCGGTGCTGCCCTTTCATATGCATGTTGATGGGTGCAGGAGGCGTCTGGCATGGAACAATAAGCAGTGCTGTGTATGGTACTTTTACATTGATACCCGTGGTTATCGGTGGCAAGATTCATGGTGATCGACATTACTTCTACAAGCCTGCTGCAAGCAACGAGGAAGCCGACAACCACAGTGACTCAAGTCATAGAGGGTGCGTTCATATGCATGCACATATGCGGGTTTCAAACCAACGAACATAGGCTTGCTACGGGTTTTACAGGACATATATATGGGCATGAGTTTGTCGCCAAATTTCTGGGTCGTAGTGAGTGTTGCTATTTCATGATCACTTATCATATGGGGACAGCGTTTTGAAGCACGCAACCTTATAACTTAACCGACGGACCGACCTCCCTTATATATCTTGTGTACACCTTACGAAGCCAATATTATCAATGCAGGCCAACTGCTGCTCGTGGCAGAGCGGTATCTCCACCAGCGGGGCATCCACCGTACGTCTGCAATGACACCGACAATGACATTGTTCATCGGGGGATGCCACGGCTGCCTTGCAATCGACCATCAACGCCGGCTGCAACCAACACCAGCAGTAATCATCATCGCAGCACCCGTAGGGTGCTGCAGGCACGCAGAGACTCATCAGCATACCTCTACCTGAACGTCTACATTCCAGAAAATACATGGTACTCTGGCATTGAGGGGGCCATAAGGACGGGCGTTGCCAACACTAACCAAGCCCTAGCACGTGCTAACGCTGGCTTCAAGCTTGTACTCCTTGCGATTGGGATGGTGAGTAGCTGCTGCAGCTCAGCTGAGACTGGTTAACTTGTTTTTTTGTGTTTGATAAACAAAGTTAAAGTAAAGGCGATTCAAGCATGTAAGCGAAGCGTCAATTGCAGGCCTTACAGTTCTAGTTAGACACCATTGTATATTTTACATTTATTTGCTTGGCGGCCCGCCACACCGCCCGCCGCCCAGGCCTTTTGCTTAACACCCATCCATCCGCATAGTGCATAAGTTGCATGTTGTTGTTGTTATCACAAAGTGGGAAGCTTCTTGGACATTTGCACACATTTGCATTGCCATCTAGGATTGAACACCATACAGCACCATCCACCACATCCACGTTTGATCCGGCCTTCTAGGACCCCTCCTCATCCGAGCATCCGAGCATCCGTAGAGACAGGGGTTCAGCAGTCGCCATCAATCCAGCGTGTGAATCTGGTCCATCAACTGTGACCTCAACTCCACAACTCAGCAGCCAGCCATAATCTCACGTGCACATTTCCGACAATGTCGGGGGTCTACCCAGGAGTCGAATCCAGATTTTAAAGCGCAAATCGCAGTAGTGTCTCCAGACCCGACCAGACGGTGCTTTATAGGATGCATAGTCCCTAACGTTAAGGTACGTAATGTAATTTTGTGCAATCAGAAGGATATAGGGTTTGGCACTACTGATAAGGCGCGACCATTGCCCCTGGGAGGTCCCGGGATCGATACCCATTAGGGTCATAATTCCTTCCGATGGTGGAAGGCATTGTGCCCCTAGTGGATGGACGGTGGTGACCTGGGATAAAGTTAACCTGCGAACCGACCAGGAATGGAGTAGGGCCGCTGTCGAGCCGGCAGATTCCGTTGGATGCTGGTGGTGGGTGCGGAACCTGAGCGATCCACTGAGAAGTTGACTAGGGTGACTGGATGAGGGTGCCCCGAAATACCGGGGAAGGCAGGGTTTCGCAGGGTAGCTGCCACGGGCGAAGATACACCCACCTGTTTCACACATCATATATAAAAGAAGGTCGCAGATTGGAAACGTTAGCACGACGATATTAACATCGTCTGATGATCCTCCTATGATTTAGAGGACTTCTGACAAGATGGTCGTCGCAAGTTCAAACGTCGTATGCGCTTTCAGGCCGGCAGTTTGGACCAACGGATTCGGTCGCATACTTTCAAAGTTGACACGTCTGCAACACGCACGGCGGGATTTAGAGGTGCCGTGGACAGCAGATACCTCATATCTGCATGTGTAAACTGTTAACATAGTGGTGGATAACGGCAACTCCAACCTTTACATCGCCAGGGTCTCGGAGTAATCCTTATTACCTTTCCCATTCCTTTCCTGGCATGGGATGTGGAACAACTGATTATTGTATCTCTATCTACACATGCAGCCTGTAACTGCACATGTGCTTGTGCATATATCCTTCTGCTATGCAGGTCAGCAACAGCTATGTGCGCCCGGACATGCAGCAAACACTGGCTTACCTGGCGAAGAATCCTCCACCGTCCGTGAATGCGACGGGTGCAGACTACTACATGCTTGTAGCTCCATCCTGGCTAGGCCCAAGTACGACAGCGGGTATCGCCTACGTGTCATGGCCGCAGTCAGTCGTAAAAGCAACGTATCTCACGGACACAACCTTCCCGCACGAGCTGGGTCACAATTTCGGCCTTGCGCACAACAGGGAGGAATGTGGATCGAACTGCAACGCAGGGACTTCATATGCGTATGGGCCGTGGTAAGTAACTATGCATATATGTATTTTTATGTATTTATGTATTCCCCCTATATATAGCTATATGTACGTATATGTCCCCCCAAGTACACATCCCCATTTCGTTTTGGTTTGGTAAGGGTAGGGGGATGGGGGATGCCCAATGGCATACTCCAGGCCGGTTCCGGCCCGGTTCCGACCTAACGGGTTCAGTTAACGAGATGGGTAACCGGTCGGTAGGAACCGGGCGAACCGTTATCCGTTAACCGTCCCCAGTAATCGGTAACCGATGTCGGTAACCTGGCATGAGCAAAAATGCATTTCTGATTGCAACCAGTTTCTTTGTGACAATGCCCATTGTCACAAGGTTCATGCCCACGTGTCACACCCCGACAAGCTTGAGGAGGTTAAGGCAATGTGAATGCCGGGTGACAGGGGTGACAGTCTTGTGCAGGCACATTTGGAGACTAGTTTACACTGAGATTGGGGTGATGTTGGATTAGAATACTTGCAGTTCATGAAATTGAGGAAATGTGTTGCATAGGCATATCCAAACGTTTCAGAGGGACGTTGTTTCGCCCGTAACAAACTTGTTACGGGCGAAACAAACTGGATTTCCACAGTCCCACCACTCAAAGAGCTCCCCACACCATCGCATGTCTTGCTGCACCAGCATGAGCAGTGATCCCTTCTGTTCAAAATTTTCAGGCAACATCGCAATGAGGCAAAACATTGTGCCGAATCTGCCGTACAAAGAGTGTTCAAAGCTTCACGCTACTAACAGACGAATACATAAGCATTCATTTACCTTGAAAGAATAAAGGAATTCTATAGCTTCATACAAATTCGCCTATCAGCAACTCTCCCTGGTCGTTCAAAAGTTGCTTGAAGATTCTACCATCTCCATACTATGAAGGAGCGCTTCTTCATTTCTTCATTTTATCTGAACCTTAACGTATCCTTCCAACACAATGTCCATGGACAACGGTAATGAGGTCGGCGCCTACGAGTTTGACCGGAATGCCCTGGACAACATCGCCCGTCGGCGACAAGATCGCCCACGCAAGAAATACAGCCAGCATCTTCCAGTGGATGAGTTTGGAGTACATAAGTTTGCCAGGGCAAACAATCTAAGTCAATTTACCGCGTGCCAATTGGAGGATGCATCAAGGCATATGCCTTGTCCCAGGAAAGGTGCCATATGGACGACCTTGTCAACCTATTGCGCCAATCTAGTGACATGGACGCAAAGCAGTTGCTTGGGGACATCGGCCGAAATGCCGGGACAATGACTTATTAGGGACAATGACACGGCATTTCACGCCCTCAAAGCGGGAACAAACGCTAAAACTAAATACATACATAGTTCTAAATCTTCTACTAAAATTTTCCTGCAGCGTTAGAGGCCTTTAATTAATATTGGCGAACGATGCTTCCCGAGCTACCGGGATACTCCCTATGGCATAAACATGACGGTTACCGACCGTTTGGGGCCCATTAACCCAACCGACCATTAACCCAACTGATCGTTAACCCAACTGGCCGTTAACCCAACCGACCGTTAACCCAACCGGGCCGTTAACGCCATTCAACCGGCCAGTTGGGTTAATGGGCCCCAAACGGTCGGTAACCGGTATGTTTATGCCATAGGGAGGGTCCCAATCCCTCTGGGAGGATTATGTAGTAGCCGATACACAGTACGGCACACATGACGTCTACTAATACGCGCGAAGCGCGTCCACCGGCATCTCTCCATGTCTGTTCCTGGCTTCATACACGTACACGTACACGTACACGTACACGTACACGTACACGTACACGTACACGTACACGTACACGTACACGTACACATTCTATATAGCTATATACCCTATGTACATGTCCTTTCCCACATGTATACAGGGCATATGTGGATGGGCACTGCGCAGCCTTCGACAAATGGTGCTGGGAATGGCACTACAACAAGGCTATGACATCAATCATGGGATATGATAATTCCGGATGCCCCAGCAAAAACTTTGTCTGGAAAAAGGGCGTCAACTGTGACCGAGTAATGGACTACGGTTACAACGGATTCACTATCTGCATAGGAAACATCGCCATAACTGGAGACCTAGGTGGCCAGATTTACAGGCATTCGCATTGTGGTGTTCCCCTGGGTGACCCAGACAACGACCCTGGCAGGGCATTACGAGAACTGCGGGATCGGAATGCAAATGCGTACAAGCAGTGTAAGTTTAACAGAACACTTTGCACCTTTTTGCTTGCTAGTAACAGTCGTAGCTATATACATGTGTATAGATGTATAGTATGTGCACATAGAGTATACGTAGTAATTTTAGGGCTACTATGCTACTACATACATTATGAAAAAGCTATACATGATATAGCTAGGGCTTTATTTATTAATAATGATTGTGATGTATGCATACATCATAATTATGCGTGTGAGCCATACAGGTGCGATCGCCTAATTCCGATAGTTTTGCCTTCCTAAGAGCCTCAGAAATTCGGCGGTTGACGGAATTTAGCGCGATAAATTGCATTGGATTCATATTCCAGTCCTATATGTACGACAAGGGTCGCAGATTTTACTCTTGTGTCATTGTACCGCAATAATGTGAAATGTCGATGGGGGTCAAAAATCGCCTCCGCAGTTGATCATACGGTAATGCCGATACCCTCAGAACGAGCACATATAGCGCAATCCTGCCACAAGCGCCACAATAACTACTTTAATATCATCGCTTGGCTCATTTAAGGTTGCCTTAGCAGTTATTGATTGCGCCGCACGCCTAGGTTCTGCTCGATTGCGCTCGGCATCCCAATCTTGTCGACAAACAAGGACATGTCTCGCCGCACTCGTTAAGATTCATTTAAGATAACATAAATGACATAGGTAATAAGCATAAAACTTGTACATGCCTGCGGATCACATCACACGGAACATTCGAGCGTCGCGGGCGCAATCCTGACAATTTCTCGGCGCGACCCAAAGCCAAAGCGACTATTTTAGCTGGACCGGCTCAGAAACCTACATGTATTAATTCATATGGATGATTTATGCTCTCATAAGGCCGTCGCGTGCGTATCTGTGCACCGAGCATGTTCAAATGTCCTGGACCCCGGGGTCGGGTGTCTCCGGAACCAATAAGGCCTTCTTCCTTGCAACTATTCTTGCTTGGCTCAAGTATAGCATATTAACCTTCAAATTATGAATTTTATCATAATTATAATGCTCCCTAGACACGGAAATCTGTAATTATCGGATGTACCCATGTATCGGAATTATGCGATAGCACCTGTATGGCTGTAATGCATTGCTCACCTAAAAACAAATTTTTAAAGTTTAACCAGTTCAGACCTCAAAAGCCCGAGATATTAGAAATGTTAGATATATTTAATATCTAAGCGTCTTCATGCAGGTTTCACCGGATTCGGACTTAGGAGTCCAAACATATATTCTGGTCTGATCAGACCAGAATCATGATTTACACTACTGTACATGTCTTATACAGTTTTAAGGTCCTGGGTTCGCTTCCTGGGGAGATCCCCGACATTGTCGGGCGCGTGAGATTATGGCTTGCTTCTGAGATGTGGAGTTGAGGTCACTGTTGATGGATCGAGATTCGCACGCAGGATTGGTGGCGATTGCTGAACCCTCTGTCTCTGCAGATGTTCGGGTAAATGGATGAGGAGGGATCCTAGAAGGCAGGATCATCCGCCTTGGACTTCCAGTTCGTATGGCGTAGTACAGTGTGGTAATGGTGGATGGTGCTGTATGGTGAGATAAATCGTAGAAATGACAATATGTGTTCAAATGGCCCATAAGCCTCCCACTCTGTAACAATTCAATTAAATTCAATTCATATGTGTATAGATGTACTTATATGTATACAGACATTAATCTCTTTGTACATGTACACCTCTTCGGGATTCAAATTAGTTACCATCGAAACTAAGTTCTATCTCCCTGCCTACCTAAGCTACATGCGCCTCTTCCCTCCTAACCTTAATTCTGTCCGGACAGATGGGTGCAACTGGTGGAAAGACTTGGCCTATTCTAATGGAAACTATGGAGGCGGCTGCTTCTTAGATACCTCATATCAACGCTGTTCAGACGCCTGCCAGAATGATGGCTGGGGTACTTGGTGGAACTCAATTAACAACAGGTGCGCAGCGATTGAATGGTTCCAGGGTAGAAGCATCTGCTGTCTCCATACTGCCAGTAGCTCCAGCGGCCAAGACAGTTTAGAGGTTGGATACTTTCCAGATGGGCGTTGGAGCGATTGGGGCACAGTGTGGTCTAAGCGACGCTGCTGATGAGCCCTATCTGGCCAAAGTGTTGAACGATCTATTAATTTGGTTTGGTGACACCTTTGAGCATTTGAAGTTTCTGGGTTCGATTTCTAGACAGACCCCGTCATTGTTCGGGAGATATAGGTTTCCTAATTATAATGCTGCTGAAGTGTGGAGATAAAGTCTAGTTGATGAAGTAAGTTTCGCATGCTGAGTTGGTGGTGATGGCTGATAGTATGTCTCTACGGATATGGGTGACTGGATGAGGAGGGGTCAATGAAGCAGGACCCAGAGTACTCAGGGAGATGCTGTCGCGTCATTCGAAGGGAGGTCTGGGAGATGCTGTCGCGTCATAGGAAGCAGGGTGGTCTGGTGAAGTCCTGCAGGTAGCTTGGATGCTGACTAGACGGCACAAGAATGGGCAAGTCGTAATACACAGCAATTAGCAACCCACGAAAGGGGCCAAGATTCCCTCCAGACAATCATTCAACAGTGATAAGGGTTTACCTTACCGACTGAGTTTTCCCGGCGTGAAGGCTATGGGTGTTGAGCGGGCCACACAGGAGTTCGGCTGGTTTAGGGACGTTACTTATGCGGTGGACACAAGGGAAGGACCGCACAGGGCTTATTGTCTAGCTTAAAGAACCTTACAATGTTCTGATTAGAGCCGTAAAGCGACTTTCCCTGCCAGCGTCACCAGCTCGTCATGCGCACCAGGCTGTTGCAGTGCACGCACAGCGACCTCCAAGTCATCTAAGACCTGGGTAAGCCGCCGGTGCAGTTCTGGACGTGACTTCAGCAACTGGTGCACGTTCCTGCAGGACTTAATCGTTCTGCCCTGAACGGGGTTGAGTAGCCACGAGACATAGCCGATGCCAAGGTTGCTCGCATCAGTAAGGACGTCAACGACGTCAACGGCATGCTGTTCCAACGGCATTGCCACCAGTCACTTGTTCCAGGCACTTCGAGCAGGCCAGGTGCCGCAGGTCACGAGTCTTTGGTGATCGGATGCTTCTCACTTGTGAAAAGAAGCATATTCCACACTGCACTAAGTGGCCTGATGAAAATAGCCTCCTGAAAAGGCAATCCTCGCCGCGTATGTCTTAAGAGGCCCTCTAATTCTTGCTGTTTTTCCTGAGAGACCGGTGCCGCACTGCTATGAAGGTTTTCGCAAAGACGTAAACATGCTAGGCCTATGGATGATGTAAGGCGTGTCTTCTGGCCACAATGAGCAGGTCAAAGCACAGCAGCGCTTATCTACAGGCATTCTTCTTACTGTACAAATATGGGGGCCTTGGTGAAGCAGCTGACCGTGTTATAGATGTGGAAGGTGCCGAAGTACGTCGGTGAAACATAATGTGGCAGGACTGGAGAGAATAGTGCAGCAGTATAATGTGAGTGTAGTTCGGCGCATGGGCGAATTACGTGCAGTCTTTTCATCGTGGGCGCGTCACGTTGCAAGTTAAGCAACGTGTATACATGACGTGTAGCATCAGTCCTCAGTTCACTTCTTGTAACGAACATCAGCATAGGTCCAAGCCCTCTCACTTGGAGGGATATGCAAACAAACATCCTGATAGGTAAACTCGCACGCTACCGAGCATTCAACCGAGCACATGTATGCTTAGTTGAATGGTGAGATGCGACCCCCCCTTCATTTCGTGCTCGGCAAGCCTGCCACCGTGTACCGGATATGTTGGCGATGTTACAGAGATGCTGCACCTCGGTTTCTGTGTGCAATGCGTACAATGCTCGACCCAAAACTACACGTGCCCAACTGAAGACATTCCCGGTGGTTGTGCAGCAGCTCTTGCGCCTGTTGCTGGCTGAAATCCATCCTGAGCTGTTGCAACACGGCTAACGCGGGCACGGCCCTATGCACAGCAAATAGCTGTTCCAAGCCAACAGCGGCGTCCATGTCACCGACAAGGCTCTAAACGTCTTATCTGTTCTTATGTTTAATTAAGTTTATGTATAACAACGCGCAACTTTGTAATTTGACTTTACTCTGAACAAGGTGCTGTATATGTTGCGCTCAGGGAACGAGCCGAAACTTGACCAGGTCTGCGGAAACTTTTCGTATTCAGGAGCCCCTTTGCGGAAAGGCTGTGGAAACTGCGGAAAGCTGCGAAAATTATAAAATAAATATGTAACGATGTTTTTTAGCTCTTCTCAGTGTGGCGATGACATGGACAGTCTCAGTGTGGCAGTGCGGTTCTGTCCGGTGGGATCTAGAATCTGGTGGATTCCTCGAAGGTAGAGCCATCTAAATGTATTACTGGGGATGGCGGGGGCCAAGCGATCAACTATTGTGTGCCCACACCCTTGACGGTGTTCACCAGGGTGAGACAGCCCGATCGGGTCCCGACAGGAATGGCACTTGTCCTGAAAATCCCGACAGGCTTTGAAAATGCTTTCGGGCGGACCCGACGAAAAAGGGGGAAAATGCCAAACGGCCATCGGGAGCCCCCGTCGGGGCCCGGAGGGCCCCCGTCGGGGGACCCGACATGGTTAGGGGCGCTAGGACCACCCGATCGGGTGCCATGGGTCGTCGGTGGGCCCTTCGGCGACGGACAGCTACAGCGATACATAATGGCATTCATAAAAATATAACTGGATGGAAATATGTAATGTAGTGGTAGCATTCTTTATCCTTTGACTCTGCTGTACAGGGATCCAAGATACATAAGTGAAGGGCACACTACCTTATCTATAAAATACGAATAAATGTAATTTCAAGCGGCACACAGCGAAATTTCGTTCTTGCGTCACCCGACAGGTTTTGGGATGGGCTATCGGGGCACCCAACAGAAATTGAAAGATATGCAAAAACGCTATCGGGCGGGGCCGACGGGCATGGGAAGGGGAAAACCGGCAACCCGACCATTTTAGGAAGGTCCTGTCTAACCCTGGTGTTCACCCTGCCCCCTTCAAGCAGCCTGCCTCTCTTTGAACCCTGAGATGCTCAGATATTGCCACTCATATTGGCCGTGACGACCTCGGATGAAGACGCAGCAGCATCCTTAGCCCTACCAACTCATAGGGGGTCTAACAGCGGCTAACAGGCGTGCCTGTTAGGGAATGTTAGCCTAACAGATTCTCTAACAGTGATGGGGCTGTCAGACGATGTTTGGGCTGGCGGCAGGTGGATCTGGCTGTTAACAAGCATGTTGAAGAAGTAGAACAGGAATTGGTGCTGTTAGCCGTTGTTAAGGCTTGTCAGATGTTTTCAGACTGTATTTTAGCTCTGTCTCACGTTGTTGATGGATAATGTCGTTTAGAACAAACATTCTTGAACGGTTTGTAACGAAATGTCCTGCCTTTTGCCTAATATTTGGCAAACCATACGTTTCAAGCAATATCATCAATCATGCATATTACCTCGCTTATTAGCAAGGCACTAATTGACTGGATGAAAATCCAGGCTGCTGTTCCAAAAGCACTACTGCTGCAGTGAATTTAGGCATGAAACGAATGGCACTACTTACATGG